GCAGGAGGAGTCCCTTGAATCATGATCTTGAGACCAGCCTGGGCAACACAGCAAGACCCATCTCATAAACAAACAAGGGGTGCACCTCAGCTGATATGGTGCTTGCCTAAGCCCTGGTTTTCATCCAGGCTATAAACTGGTTGGAGCGTGGTCTGTCCACAACCCTGGCATTTGGGAGGTAAAGGCGTAGGCATCAGAATGAACGTGGGGTTTAAATGAGTTCATTTATTAGGGAAACACACAGATGAGAGTAAATAACCCCACCGGGCTTCCTGCTCCAGAAGATGCCGTCTCTGCCTTCTGATGCTCTCCGTAACCCAAGAAAACATGAGCCAGCCCCTTATAATGGGTCATGTCTGCACCTGAAACCATGCTCAAAGGGTGTGGCCACCACCACAGGTTCACTGGCAAAGCAAGATGCCAGTACAAGGTTATTCTCAGTTACACAGCAAGCTTGAGGCCAGCCTGCAGTACATGAGACGTTGTTCAAAACATATACCAAAAAACAGACCCAATGATGCCGCACACCTTTAATAGCAGCCCTTGGGAGGCAGAGGCTGGTGGATCTCTGTGAGCTCAAGGCCAGTCTGGTCTACAGAGTGAGACGCCTATCCCAACAAACCAAACAAAACAAACTTCAAAACTCAACTACCTGTCAATTCCAGTTCCAGGGGGCCCAATGCCTTCTTGGGCATCCAGGCTCACGTCCATGTACCCACACAGACACACGCAGGCACAAAATTAAAAATAAACTTCTAAACAACAACCAACAGCCTGAGGCTGAGGCGATCACAGGTCTCAGCAGGAAATCACTGCGACTGTTCTGACAGGAATGGTGTGTCCATCAGATCTCCTTCCAAACGCATCTGCTTATGCCACAGCTCAGCACTGCCGCCAGCTTCCGTCAGGGAGGCTTATTCTTGCAATGGGCAGACTGCGGACAATCACCGACTGCTGAAAGCTGAGCCCTAAAAGGACACTGATGTCACCCCCTCCAATGCTCAAGGAACATGGTGGACGATGGCAGTGGAAAGAAAGGAGGGGCTAGAGGAGGGCGGAGTTCTGTGAATGTCGTCTTCTGAACAGGAGAGAGACCGAGCACACCCCAGCCTTCCGCAGCTGAGACTGTCTATACACATCCTGCAGAACACAGCCATCAACATGCCACCAGGAGCAAACCATGGCCCTTTTTACACATACAGTACATAACAAATGTAACAAAACCAGAACTAACTCTGCAAGCTGTCATCAGCCATTATTAATAGACATTTTGTCGGAGAGACAGACAGAGAGGTCAGTCTTCCTCTGGCTTGGTTGATAAGACACTGAAATTCTTTTAATCTTTGGATTTATCTACTTTATATGAGTACTTTGCCTGGATGTATGTATGTACGTGTACCATGTGCATGCCTGGTGCCAGCAGAGATGGCTGAGTCACCCCGTGAGTGCTAGGGATCAAACTCAGGTCCTCTACAAGAACAAGTGCTCCCAACCACTGAGCAATTTCTCCAGGCCTCAAACATTGAAGGATTCGTTTTTATTTATGAGTATGTGTATACATTTGTATGAATGTATGCCACATGTGTGCAGTACCCCAGGAGGCCAGAAACAACAACAGATCCCCTGGAACTGGAGTTATAGACAGTGTGAGCTGCCATGCGGGTGCTGGGAACCAAAACCGGATCCTTTGCAATTCTCCCCCCCCCACCGCTGCACCCCCCCCCCCCGCCTCTTTTTTTTATTTTACATACATGGGTGTTTTGCCAGCATGTATGTCTATTACCACTTGCATGCCTGGTACCTGCAGAAACCAGAAGAGGGCGTCAGAACCAAAAAAAAAAAAAAAACGAGTTACAGACAGCTGTGCACAGCCATATGGGTGTTGGGAATTGAACCTGGGTCCTCTGGAAGAACAACCAGTGCTCCTAACTACTGAGCCATCTCTCTAGTCCCTTCTCTGAGATAGTCTTAGTGTAGCACAGACTTCAGTTTGGAAGCCCTTGGTGTGAAGGTTAAGATCTCAGGCTTTGGGAAGGGTGGTACACACCTTTAATCCCAGCAATTGGAAGGCAGAGGCAGGCGGATCTCTGTGAGTTCGAGGCCAGCCCGGTCTACAGAGAGAGTTCCAGGACAGGCTCCAAAACAATACAGAGAAACCATGTCTCAAAAAAAACAAAAAAAACAAAACAAACAAAACAAACAAACAAACAAAAAAAGATCACAGGCTTTCGAGAACCCCTGAGTGAGTTCAAATCCTTACTTGGTCACTGACCAACAACTGTGGGACTAGGCAAAGGACTTAATCTAGGTCTACTAAATATGTATAGTGATGTCATTCCCATGGGGACAGTAGAGGGGTGCAGGAACTCGGGCTCTAGGGAAAGAAGCTGCTAGAGCAACTGAAATTATTCAACTCTCAACATCAGGAGCAGGAATCCAGACAACTACTTTCTATCGTCAATGAGCACAGAGATCACATCCTGTAAGTGGCTCTGTCCCAGTCAGCATCCCCTGGGCAGTGTGGGGAGTGTGGATCCCAGTCAGCACCTCCCCTGGTGTTGTGGGGATCTCGGGCCTTTGCATGCCGGACAAGTGCTCCACCACTGAGCTACATCCCAGGCCCCTTTCACTTTGAGACAAGATCTCAATAAATGACCCAAGTTGGCCTTCAACTTATGATCTTTCTACCATAGCCTGTGTTAGCAGCACAGGTGCCAGCAATCCCAGCACCCAGGAGACTGAGGGAGGAGAATCACCACAAATTCAAAGCTGGCCTAGCCTACATCGTGAGTTCTAGAACAGCCAAAGCTATTTAAAAAAAAAAAAAAGTCTTAAAAGATTTACACTTCACGTTTGACCCCAGCACTCAGAAGGCTGAAGCAGGGTCTCTGTGGGTTCAAGGCCAGCCTGTACACAAAGCTACACAGAGAAAAAAAAAAAAATGGTGGGGTGGGGTGGGGTGGATGGAGAGGTGTCTCAGAGGTTAAGAGCATTAACTGGTCTTCTAGAAGTCTTGAGAACACACATAAAACCACCACCATCAAAACCCCAGGCGTCCCTGTGGCAAGTGTGTCAACCCCCAGCAGTGGAGACAGGTGATCTCTGGAGTTCACTGGCCAGCCAGTGTAGTCTAATTCACGTTCCCAGATAAGACTCCGTGTCAAAAACAAACAAATAAAAAACAAACAAACATAAAAAACAAACAAGGTAGCTGGCACCTGAGGAATCAAGGTTGACCTCTGGCCTCCACACACATGCTCGAGCACCTGTATACACACACACACGTAAAAGGTAAAAAAGAAACTTTATAGTTGAAAACTACTATTAAATATTTGAGTTTGATGTTTTTCCCCAAATAGACAAAAACAGAAAGTGGGGTGCAAAACAAGGGGAGAAACAGTGGATTAAAATGGGAAAAATATATTGATATGACATACAATTTAAAAGATAAATTTATTTTATAAGCTGAATTAAACAACAAAACTGGCACCAAGGAAAGATCTCTGACATACAGTGTGTCAGATGAACTAAAAATCAAACCCACCACTGGAGGTCTTACACAGCAACCACAGTAGAAAATTAACAGTAAAAAGAGATGAGAAGGAACAGAAAAAGGAATTAACAGCTAATAGTGAAGAAAGGAGAGCAAAGAGAAGAAACCAACATTTTAAACACTGCTCTTTCATCCTGAGTGGTGGAAGGCATTGCGTAAATCGGTTCTGTGAGGCACAGACAGCAGAAGTCAAGTCCTGAACATAAACTGAGGTGCCAGGGCAAATTCCCAGAGCTGTGCTAGGCGGAAGTGTGAACATAGCCACGTGCTGGCCCATGCCTGCTAATCCCTTCTCATTCATCTTTGCCTCAGGGAAGAACGAAGAGCCAGGAGAGCCTGAGGCCTGCCCACTCTGCTCCTCGCATGTAACTCAAGGCTGGGACAAGATGCCAATCCCTCCCGATGACTCAGAACCAATGCATCCAAACAAGAAAGGAAGTTTCACTTCCTACTCCTCAGTGTCTCTTCAGGGGAACACAGAACATTCTTCAGTGCAACCCACTTGTGTGCAGTGTCTGTAACCTCAGCCACCAGGAGACAGAGGGTGGGAGACACAAAATATCCCCAAAGCTCCAAGTTCAGTGAGAGAACCTGTCAAAAAAGTAAGGTAGACAGGAATGGAGGAAGACATCCAACTACTGACCTGACCTTCACATGGTGCCTGTACACATGCATCTGGGTGTGCTCGCAAACACACACACACACACACACACACACACACACACACCATGCAAATATCCATCTAATTATCCACGGTAAATATGGTTTTTTTAACACTTTATTACTTATATGAAGAACATGCCCTGTACAGAGATCAGAAGGAAATTTACAGGACTCTGCTCCCACCACAAGGGTCAGGGGTATGGAACGCGGGCTGTCAGGATTGGCAACAAGTGCCTCTGCCCACTGAGTCACCTCACCAGCCCTCTAGATAATGTACTAAAATTAGGCACGTCTCTATTAGCTAACCCTCAAATACCCTATTCCCAGGGTGTGTCACGAACCAGGGAGCCCACTTCTTTTATAGAGATGGAAGCCTCTCAAGAAATCACACCTGAACCAGGCCAAGTCAATTAAGGCTTTAACAAGAAGTTAATGGAGGCCAGGTGGCATGCCTACAGTCTTCAAGTTTATCAAGCAAAGCTAACGGCTTAAGGTGTTTACAACGTACTAATGACAGGTCCATTAAATCCCTCACTGAGGGTGCAGCACTCAGAAGGAAAAATGAAAGTCCAGTTCAATGCCCCCCCCATTTTTACAAATGGGGGCTGTACTGGGGGTAAGTGCAGCCCCTCCGAAGCCACCCATTAAATCCCCTCGTGCTAGGAGCCCCGCCAGGACGCGCAACTTGAAACAAATGTGTGGTACAGTGTTGACATCATTGCATATAAGCAGCCCGAAGCACGCAGACGGAAGAGTGTGGCTGTGGGCATCTATGTAACCACACCCTCCGGTGGCTTCCCGGGCACGCTCGGCCCGAGCGGCGTCGCGGCGGCGGGGTGGTCCACCGAGTGGAGGTCCCGGGTGTGAGATGCAGGCACGGAGCATCGGAGAGCACAGCATCCCGGCGCCCGGCATCCAGGACCTGGGGACCTGGGGACCTGGGGACCTGGGGTTTCCTTCTTCAGGACCAATCCTCACTGCCCTGCCCTGCCCTGCCCTGCCCTGCCCTGCCCTGCCCTGCCCGGCCTCGCCCTGCCCTGCCCTGCCCTGCCCTGCCCTGCCCTGCCCTGCCCTGCCCTGCCCTGCCCTGCCCTGCCCTGCCCTGCCCTGCCCTGCCCTGCCCTGCCCTGCCCTGCCCTGCCCTGCCCTGCCCTGCCCTGCCTGGCCTCACCCGGCCGCCCCGCCCAGCAGGCCCTGG